CTGCCTCCTTTCTCTTGTAGCTTTTAATATTTTCTCTTTGTTCTGTATATTGGATATCTTCATAACAATGTGTCTTGGCGTTGGTCTACTGTGATTTTGTATGCTCAGTGTCCTGCATGCATCTACAATTTGTATATCCGTTTCCTTTTTTATTTCTGGAAAGTTTTCTGTAATTATTTCATTCAGCAGGTTACTCATTCCCTTGTTTTGAATCTCTATACCTTCCTTTCCCAGTGACTCTTGTTTTTTTAATGTTATCCCATATCTCTTGGATGTTTTTCTCATGATTTTTTACCAGCCTTTCTGAGTTGGCTAGATTCTTTTCAAGATGATATATTTTGTCTTCATTATCTGATGTTCTGGCTTCTACTTGCTCCACTCTGTTAGTGATACTCTCATTTGAGTTTTTAATTTGGTTTATAGTTTCCTTCATTTCTAGAATTATTGTTTGATTTTTTTTATAATCTCTATCTCCTGATAAAGATGCTTAACTTCTTCTTTTATCTGTTTATGTAATTCATTTTCAATGTGTTCTTACACTGTTTGAATTTGCTGTCTCATATCCTCTTTAAGGTTCCATTCCATCTGTCTAAGGTGTTCCTTAAGTTCTTTATTTGACCATTTTTCTGATGACTCTAGGTCCTCCTGAATATTTAGGCTGTCCTGCATTATTTGTACTCCTTTTCTTCCTTGCTTTTTCATGCTGCTCATGTTACTTCTTGTTCTGTTTGACTGCTGAGTTACTGTTTACTCTTATAAATTTATTTGATGCTTGGGAGGAAAGGTATTAGAAGGGAAGAGAAGAAGTCACTAAAGAGAATGAGAGTAAGCAGGTAGAATTCAAGGAAGGGGGGAATAAGAAAATTGAAAAGAAATGAAAAGACAGAAGAAAAAAATAGAAAATAAAAAAAGAAAATAATTTTAAAAAATAATAAAAATAATAAAAATTTCAATAAAAAAAATAAAAAAATTTAAAAACCAACAAAACAAAATGAAAATGAAAAAAAAAACCAAATTAAAAAAAATTAATAAATGCAGTCTTAGAGTTTGATTAACTTCTCTTCCAGTAGGTGGAGCTGTGCCCACCGGGCCAAGCTTCTCCTCTCAATATGCGGGAACCAATCACTGTGCAGCAGCTGCTCCTCCCAGACTGGGAGTCTCCAATCCTGAGTGCCTAGGGCCTCCTCTTGTGTCTAGTCACTTCCCCACTTTTCCTCAAGCCAGGCCCCGCTCACCGATGACTCTCACCACAATACTGGCTGCATGCCAGGTCTGCTGCTCCCGGGAGCCCTGTTTTCATGAACAACTGGGAACACTCTCCCTGTTTGCCATTCCCTCAGACCCTAAGTTTGTAGAGCTTGAGGCTGAGAACTCTCAGCGAATTTTGCTTGCCCTCCAGTAGCCACGCCCCCGGTAGCTGGTGCAAGAGACCTCAGTTGTCAGCACTGGTGGGAGCAGTAGCTGGGAGTTCCGCGCCGCGGGTCCTGCGCCACTCCTGGTTCCCTCGGTCTGGCTATCGCGCTCACGGGAAAGCTGGGAGGGGCCCTTAAGGTTTCCCCGCTGTATGGAGAGGGAAGGCTAGGGGATTACACACCTGTCGCCGCTGGTTTCAATGAAGTCATCTTCTCCACCGCATTCTGGTGATGTCAGTTCTCTGCCATTGTGGTATCCCACTCAAATGGCAACAGTTCGTTCCCTTTGCCGGGTGACCAATGCAACAGGTGGGTCCTGACTGTCTCTCCCAAGCCCCGTTTCAATCCTGTGGCCGCTGCCTATGAAGGCTCTGTTGGCATTAACCTCCGTAGGATCAGAAGGGCCCATCAGTTGTTTCAGCGGGATCGTTAGTGCTGAGTCACAGCAGTTAGGCTGCGAGAAGCAGGCGAACGGGAGCTTGAATGAAGCCGATCCGGGCTCGGTGTGTGTTCTGAGAGGCCCAGACTGTTCGCCCCAGATCCACGTCAGCTCAGCATTGCCTAGTGATCCTGAGCAAACAGCATTTAGACAGTTTACGACTCCCTATGCCCACGCAGCTGAAGAGGTGAGAGACTTGATCTCTCCGCGCCCACCGCCATGTTGGATCCACCAGGCCATTGTGTCTTGTTATTAGAAATTTGATAGAGAAATATCAGTATAACACAAAATTAAGAAAAAAAATTAGCTTTTATTTTGTGAAGAGATAAAGAACTAAATAGGGCATCTGATACTTTGACTGAATGAATGGAAGGACACTTGTACTTTCCACTTGTGCTAGATCATTCTGATCAAAGAGAGGCCCCAGGGAATAAGAGAACTATGCTGCATAAGGCAGAATTTTTTGGAGTTGGCATCTTCTCTGGCCAGGCACTGTTACAGACACTGCAAGAAGAGCAGTAAGGAGGTATGCTGTTATGGAGCTTTCATCCTGGTGGACAATGATTGAAGGCAGAGAGGATATACAGTAAGCAAGGACTTCCATAAAATGCCTCTGGAAAAAAACAAATCAGAAAAGTTTTTATGAAGGGCAGTCCAGGCAGGCTTCTCTGGTAAGGGGTCACCGAGCAGACTGAATTGAGGAGAATCCCTTATAAAAATAAAACTTTGAAGAGTTTACTTTTTATTTATGCACAGAGAATTTCTTATTGAATAATCTTTCTTTTTCTCTTCATTAGGCACTGTAAGGCGGTTTCTGGAGATTCATGGAGAAACCATTGAAAAAGTAGTATTCGCTGTCTCTGAACTGGAAGAGGTAGTTTGCTAATTATTTTGCATTGTTTAAATCTTATTTGTACTTGCATTTGCCTTTGTCTTGTCATTGTTTACTTACTGAATTTTCAGCAGATAAATCCTAATTGTGTAGATACTGGTCAATGTTGGAAACTAAAAGTAAGTCAAGAAGAGCTTTTTGTTTGTATTTTTCACTGTGAGGGCAAACTTCACAGCTGGGGCTGTTCTGTTTGCTGCCTCTGTTGGCTTTCAGGACACTGCTTTGTCACCTGAGCATTGGATGCCTAGGCAGCATAGCTGGAAAACTACTGCTGTACTGGTAAGGCTCTGGTGTGTCCTGGCCTGAAAACAGGTTACAGCCTGGTGTGGTGGCTGGCATTAAATTGTAAGGTTTTTATGTTTTATTGAATGTAATTAGATTTAGTGTTTTTCAGTTTAATTCAGAACTGATTGGGAAAATCAAATCTTTGTCATATTAAACCTTATTTAGCTGTCTAATTCAGCTTCTAATATTTCTCAGTTTTGTTTCTTCAGGCAAGTTACTGTGCCTCTCAGTGCTTTGGTAAAATAAGAAAGGAAAAAAATAGGAATACTATTGGTTGGTTTGCACATACAAGATGTGTTATATACAAGTAAGTTGTTTACTATCTTAGGAATTAGCTTCCCATGGGAGGGGCAGTCTTACCCAGCCAACAAGCTTTTTAAGATGTGAAAACATCATAAAATATAAAAAACAAGAAAAAACAAACAAACATGGTTAATACTCATTTTTCGAAGAAGATGTACAAATTACCAGTAAGTAGTATAAAAATTCTCCGTGACATTAACCTTTAGGCAAGAGCAAATAAAAACCAGAGTGAAATGTAACTTCACACTCACTAATATGGTTATAATTATGAAGACAGATGATAACAAGTGCTGGCAAAGATGTAGAAATTGTAATTCTCAAAGATGGCTACTAGAAATGTAAAAATGGTATCACCACTTTGAAAAAATAGACTGATAGTTCCTTTAAAAGTTAAACATAGATTTACCATATAATGCCACTAATCCTCTCTTTATTATATACAGAAGAGAATTAGAAACACAGATCCAGATAGAAATAGAGGTGTACACCTTTACATTCCGAATTACTTAGGAGGCTGAGTCAGTAGGGTCAATAAGTTTAAGGCCAGCCTCGGCAACTGGGTAAGATCCTATCTCAAAATAAAAAACAAAAAGGGCTAGAAGTATGGCTCAGTGTTAAGAGCATCACTAGATTCAATCTCCAGTACTACAAATATATCCACACAAAATTTTATATACAAATACTCTTAGCACTATTATTTATAATAGCCAAAAAAGTAAAAATTCACATCTTGAGTTAATAAACAAAATGTAGTAAATACATAAAATGTTTTTCTGTCATAAAAAGGAATTAACCTTGAAAATATTGTGCTAAATGAAAGAAACAAGATACAAACAGCCATATACTGTATTCCATTTGTATGAAATGTTCAAAATAGGCAAATCTATACAGACAAAAAGATTAGTAGTTGCTAGGGATTGGGGAAAGGAAGAATGGGAAGTAATTGCTAATGGATTTTGGGTTGATGATACTGTAATGAAATTAAATTTGATGGTAGTAATTATATAACTTTGTGAATATATCAGTGCTGAATTACATATTTTCCAAGGGTTACTTTTATGGTATATCGATTATATCTTTTTTTTTAAATGAAAAGCATATAAAACTGGTATTTCTACTCTACTCTCTTACTTGCTTATTTAAAAGATGATGTAGTCCTATGTGTAGCACAATAAGCAAACCAAAAGATGATTTTTTGAATGATTCCATTGTTCCTTAGGCTATGCCATCATTTATTTTCTTACTACTTGACTTGTTCTTTTTAAATATAGTTAGGAATAATTGATGAATAATACTGAGCAATGATAAAATAATTCCTAGGGTGATAAAAAAGCAAGATGCTTTAAGATATAAGAAAAATAAGAACATCAATGCCTGTAAGGTACTGTGGGTTTAAATTGAGTGCAGTGGACCAACCCATATGGAAATTACAAAGTAGGATGAATTTTATCCCATTTCTTTTTTAAAAAAGAAGTTTTAAAAACTAAAAAAGAATAAAAATCATGAAATAACAGACTTTTACAAATAGTTAGAAGTATTACACAAACACACACACACACACACACACACACACACACACACACACACACAGTCCTCTCAGAAACTATACCTGGGTCCACTGGAGCCTGAGGCATACTGAACTTAAGGAAGTAACATCTCAGCTGAGTTTTGAAAGACACTTATCTCTAGAAATGAAGGTGGAGGTGAGGACAGGAATGGTGGGACTTACACATTGCAGGTTTGTTGGCCTAGAATTGCCCACTAGCTAACAGTTGTTCTATCTAATACAAGTAGTGATTGAGGGTCCTAGACCACATACATTGTGAGCTCAGAAGTTGTAAGGTCTTTATCCGTTTTTTTGTTGTTTTTTTTTAAAGAGAGAGAGTTTTTTTTTGTTTTTTGTTTTTTTTTTTTTTTTTTTTTTTGGTAGATGGACAAAACACAATGCCTTTATTTTTATGTGGGGCTGAGAATCGAACCCAGGTTGCGCCCATGATAAGCGAGTGCTCTTCCACTGAGCCACAATCCCAGCCCCAAGGTCTTTATCCTTGATGAAGACTGTCTTCACCACCTACAGACAACACTAAGCATTGCTCAGGTTGCTTTATTACTTCATTATTTTTTACAGAATGCCTTCCTTTTCTGATGCAGGCTACTTACCAAAAGCTGCTACCTCTGTACTTCCCAAGGTCACTAAAGGAAGAGAGTCGATCATTGCCATACCTTCCTGCAGATATTGGAAATGCAGAAGGGGAGCCTGTGGTACCTGAACGGCAAATTAGAATAAGTGAAAAACCTGGTGCTCCAGAAGGTAAGTTCTAGAGTTCTATCTTTTCACTTTCCTTCTTAAGGAAGTTGTGTACTAATGAAGCACCAACCACCAAAGAGGTAGGAAGTCCAGTTTGACCTTTGGGAAACTCTCTATTAACATGACCCTAAGATCAAGACCAGTTTTGAAGTTTCCAGTCTTATTTTTAGTTAAAGAAATTTATTCTTTAAATTTACCCAAAATGTTCTCAGACTAACAAAGTTTATAGTCTCATTAAGGACATTGGTGAGACAGTGAAGTATATTAACCATTAACATCTAAAAATTTTCAACAGCTTTAATAGTGTCCCTACATTTCATATGTAATGATAAATAATAAGACAGGACTACTATAATCATTTATTTTGTGTTGTCAGGTTTTGTGCTTAAGTAGTAATAGGAAGAGCATGTTGGGATGGGAGCCCTTCCGAATATTCAGTACTGACAGCTCATACGTACTAAAGGTCATAAATGCATTGTATGAAGATATGCTCCACGCATTTCAATGCTGGGACCTGATCTTAAGAAACAGCAGCTTCGGGGATTACTGTAAGATACCTACCATGAACAATTTTGTAAAAAAAAATAAACACCAAGTTAGAATCTGTAGAAAGCTTCTCAGCTCCTTTTTATCATATTATTACATCAAGTGGAGGGAATTACAAGTGGCCTTAAATCACAAGCTTTGCTGGACAAGTAGCTATGCACTTTGGAGAACCCACTAATAAGAGTAGATTTTTGAAGTAAGGCCAGAGTCGTTTAGAAATCCTCATCCACCACTATAGCATATAATTTTTCTTCCATAAAATGCATTTAGTGAGATAAGGAGTAGGGAACAGCAAAACCAATTTGAAATGGCACGTCTGAATAGTAGATTAGAGTAACTCATTAACCAAAAGGTTCCCATCTCAAAGAGGTTTAATTTGCACTTAATATCTTAGAAAATATTTTTACTTTATAGAAAAGGCCTTAGTGTTCATAAATATTTTTTAATTACAGTGTTAGATGGGTTTCACACATATATGTATCTAACTTAATACTTGAGGAGTTGAAGAAAGATTAATTTTGGGTAAGTTTTAATTAAAGTAGGCCCTTTCTTCTAAGTTGTTGACCAGTCACAGTTTGAATAGCAGTGAAGGGGAAGTAGAGAAGTCCCAGCTGATAGTCTGCCAAGCTGAGATTCAAGTGGTGGCATTACCTTGGGAAATTTTATTGATCCAAGGTGTATTGATCTGTTTTTGTTTTTGTTATTAACAGGTCTAGTAAGACAGTGGCCACCACACCAAGAGATGATTGTTCTTTAGTGAGTGGCTTCTACTAGCCAAATTCATAAGAATCATATAGATAGATCAGAAAGTTTGCTTCTTAATTTGTAGTAAGAACTATAACTCTTAAAAGCCAAAATCATTATTTTGGTATGACCAGCATACAAATTACAACTGATACTAAATTACAACTGTAATATTTCTTAATGAATATGGATCATATCCTGTGATCCTGTTCATCCATCTTTGTTAGAGTGTTAGCTTACAAAAGGGTGGGGTTTATGTGCCAGTCATTCAAATATGTCTACCTTTTGATGCTTTTCATAAACTATCTTTGAAGCCAAATAGAGTCTAATTATTTCTTTTTGCTTATGATCACTTTCTACACTTTTCTTCTAAGGTTACAACCAAGTCATCTTGATTTGATTTCACATATTCCATTTCATTATTTCAGTTCCACAAATGCCTAAATCTTACTTCAGTTTCATTCTCAAAAACTAACATTAAGCCATTTTTTGAGTTACCTAACAGTTATTCCTATCGCGGCATTCAGTCTGTTTCATTTACTGTCTAGTTTTGTCCTTGGCTCTCTGTTGATAGTAGGATTTTTGTTACAGACAACCAAGAAGAGGAGGATGAAGGCTTGGGAGTTGATCTGTCTTTCATTGGCTCTCATGCTTTTGCTCGAATGGAAGGAGATATTGATAAGCAAAGAAAACTGATCCTTCAGGGACAATTATCTGAAGCAGCCCTGCAGAAGCAGCATCAAAGAAAGTAAGGCAAACCTCTCTGGACTGTTAGACACATGAGGAGATGAGAAACAAGAAAGGGACCTGACATCTGCTGAAAGGTTTATATTTGTATATAATGTGTTCTCCTTATTCTTCCTGACAGTTCAGTGAGGAAGATACTATCCCATTTTGTAGATGCAGAGCTGAGCGTTAAGTAATTTATCATTGGTCACAGTTAACATGTGGTGAAGCCAGTGTTCAATTGCATTTCTGATTTCAGAGCTCCTGCTCCACCTGCACTAATTGTAATGCGTGCATGTGACATTATAGTTTAAAAATAGAAATTAGGAAGAGAAAGGCAGTTGCAAAATTTTTTTACTCTACTTTCTTTTAAATAAAGTTCTGTTGAACTTAAAAAGAGTTTTATTTCTCCCCAGCTTATCCCAAGGATCTTACAAACATGTAGCATATTCCATTTTTCCACATATTTCTAAAACTAGATGCAACTTTTGTACTTTTAAGCTTTTTCAAAGATTAATAGTCTTAGTAAAGCCAGCTGCTTTTTTAAAAAATTAAAAGAAAAAAATAATAAAATATAAATAATTACAGTTCATTACCTTATAGGGTAACATTTCACAAACTTAGAGAGCATTAAATAAGATAATATAATGAGTTTAATGCAATACCTAGTATTTGTCAGGCTCTTAAAATTGGTCACTGCTATTCTCTTCAATACTGAACAAGTCATGGTATATTTTTCCTTTGAGCTTTGCTTCTGGACTACTCTCATCCTTCAGAATCCTGTCCATTTGCCAGGCTTCAGTTCAGAAGCAGCTGCCTCTGGAAACTTTAAAGTCTGGAATAGATGTCTCCTCTTGTATGCTTTTTCATAGCTTATACTTACACTTACCCAAAGCATAACATAGTATTTATTATACTGTTTTGTAATGATGTATAGATGTTGTTATCCTCAGTGTATAAAATGATAGTTGAACTCAATGATTCCTGGAGACCCTTACATAATTAAAATTTTATGTCTCCTTAGTCCCAGGTATTTTTCCAATTTTATCTTTAAAAAACAAAAGCAAATTTGCCACTAGAGGGCAGCAGCGAATAGCTTTTCCAAAGGACACAGTCAGGATCAAATAATTCTATGGTTTCTGAAGTTGGTTCTGTAAGAATTATCTGGCAGATAGTTTTCTTTAAATCCAGAGACTGTGTTTCCCCTCACATGACTGTGACCTATGTATATTTTAAAACATGTTCACGTCAATCATACTTTATGCATTGCTAATGGATCTTTTTTATCTCAGATTCCCTTTGCACTCTTACAAATTGTTGAGGACTCCCACAGAGCTTTTGTCTACATGGGTTGTATCTGTCAATATTTATTGTGTCAGAAATGATTTATTGATTCATTAGAAACTAACCTATAACCTATAATTTTTTGAAAAATAACTTTTTCATCTAGTGAGCATACCACTGTTTTAGATTTTTTTTTTTTAATCTTACAAATATTTTGGTGTTTGACATAATAAAAAACATCTGGATTCTCATATTAGCATTCAAACTATTACAATAAGTTGTTTTAGATAAAAGTATATGAAGATAATCTGATTTCACCTAAGTATATAATTGGAAAAGGACAAAGAGTATTTTAATAATCTTTTCACATAAATGGCAATATATTTCTTTGACACTACACTAGAATTTGACAAATGGTAGTTTCTTAAAGTTCAGTTGTGAGCCCTATCAAGCCCTATCCATGAATATTTGTACTATGATTAAAATATCTTGTTCTATACTGTACTTTGGACAGACTTTAAAGTAGGAATTTATAGCATGACTTTATGACATAATACATAAGTCATTTAGAAAATATTGATTCGCTGAAATATTCAGATCTTCTAATATTGTCACATTTCATTATATAGTTTCAAAATATATTTGCTAGTATTAGCACCAACCTCATTAGAAATTACTGAGGACTTTATTAAGAACTGTCAAGCATGCCAATACAGATTTTCCAGGGTATTTTGTGTGTGTATGTGTGTGTGTCTGTGTATATATGTGTATTTTGTGTAACCATGAGTCTTATCATTGTCATCAAAAACTTTTGGTTATTTTTCTTGAAATAACAGGATTGTTTTATTCATTTTTGAGGCAACAATTCATGTTGTCTGACCAGTTTGTCAGCCGGTCTTTGAAGTCAGTGATATTCCATGAAAAAAAGTAGCTAGTTCAATTTGCGGCTCAGATAACCACATAGAGCTTTTCTTCAAGACATCCACATACTTCAGCATCCAGAAGAGCTTTATGTGTTCTTCCCATTCTGTCACACATTAATATTAAAAAGATATGTTCTCTGCAGTTGATATAATAAAATTATTAACTTTTACTTTTTATCAAAGACATTCTTATATGAAAATGGCTTTTCCCCTCAGGAATATTTAGCATTGAAGAATCCAGTGACTGCCACTACAGTTTGGTGCCACTGCCTTGATTTGTGCAAGGTTGTTACTAGCCATTTTTACCCAACAGTTGCTTTTGCATTGACAGTGCTAACATCAGCACAGTGAAAATGGAAATAATGTGTAGTATTGTTATGAACATAGTTTTGACTTTGCAACTTGCTTATGATGTCCTTCAACTTCTTCAGACCCATCTGAAACCACACTTTCATGTTCTGTGGTCTCACCAGTACTTTGTAGTTGGGAAGAATTTGGGGAAACATCTGGTACAGTTGAGTTCATAGTCAACTGTAAGAATCATCAGAGGTGCTTGTTAAAAGTCCATGGACCCCACACCAAAACTCCTGAATCAGAACCTTTATGAGAAGGACTCAAAAATCTTCCTTTTGCAGCTTCTTATTACCTTGTATTCAAAATCATTGATCTTGTGTGACCCCTTTACATGGGGTAAACTGATCCAACAGATGGCTGACCATTGGTACAGCTGATTGAGGAAGAGCCTTCAAAGTGGCCATTTGTAGCATACCTTCCTTCTCTATTACCTTCTTTAACCTATTTACATAAAGTTCCGGGTTTTAAAAGACTAAAGATTTTTCTGTTTTTGTTATATTGTTTTGTTTTATTTTGTTTTTCTATTCAGAAAGAAAGAACTACATAGTTACCTTTCTCAAATCAGTCAACATATTTTCTCTCTCACATAATTACATATCACATACCTTTTAAATTTATCTTTGAGCTGGTTTCTTATCTCTTTTTTTTTTCTAAAGAGTTGATTTGTTTCACTTAACAACTACTAGTTCAAGCCACTATTAAAATGCATATATATTTACTGAGCTCACACTTCCTGGAAAGGAGTCCCTAGAAAAGAGATAACTTCTAGGAAGAAATACATATTCTATAAATATGCCCTTTGTACTGGTGGAGGGCCTTGATCTGGAGGGGCAAATGTGTTACATAGTGACTTTTTCCATTTGGTTCTGGGAGACACTGGCCACTTATTCTTTAAGATAATATTCTAGGTCCAGACTTAAATAAGGTAGTCCCTGATTTCTGAACATTTGAATCACCCACACCTACCTTCAGATGCTAGTGACTTTAAGACACTTTGAAGCAGATGTTCTGAACAGCCGTCAGAGTTGTGCATGTAAGTTAGCACATAGTTGTAGTACAGCCTGTGGATCCAAAAGCCTTAGAGCAGAAAACAAAGACAGAGCACCTTTGCCATTCAGTTCCCTTGAGTGGTATGCAATACCTGAATCAAGCAATTTCTGATTTCATATTTATGTGTGTGATGATTGAAGATGAGGTCTTGTCTTATATCTGTAATGCAGAATACTTATAACTGATGTTAAAATAAAAACTTGAGACAAAATAAATTTGTTCATTCTAGCAAAGAAGGATTCATGACTCAGGCAACACTCAAAACCAGAAGAGGTTCAGAGAGCTTTTCTCTAGCTGTGTGAGCAATGGGCTTTTACAGGCCCAATGCAGAAGCAAAGTCAGTTACTTAACTGTCGCCTTATACAGATATGATCCATCTAGTTGGCAGGTTATGATTGGCTGAAGTTCAATTTGGTGGTAGTGGTGGTGATGGTGGTTGTTGTTGTTGTTTCTCCCAAAATTAATCAGATAAAGGAAGACCTCTTAATTAAGTGTGGGTGTGCCTGTGTAAGGGTTCCTGGTACAGAAACAAACCCAAGGCGATGACCTGCTCATTTTGCTTTAACAGTAAAATAAATAGTGCTTCTCAAAAGTGTGAGGAGGTCTGTGAGTTCAAACTATTTTCTTATTACTAAACTTACGTTCCCTTTTCATTCTGATTCAGTTTCAGTGACATTTTCTGGAGGGTACTTAACCTGTAATGTAGGCAATAAATTAAATGCTGAAACAAATAAGAGAATCTAGCAGAAATTAAAGAGATTTATAAAAATTAAGAATATAGTTCTTTTCCATAAACACAGCTTTTTTCATGATAAAGTTTTCATTACATAATAGGTTTTTTATTGTTGTTAATACTGTAGAGACAAGTAAGATATATTCCTATCTTATGGGAATATATTAGAATGGAAGCAGACATTGTAAAAAGTAAGTAACTCTTGTATTGACAAGCAGAGGAATTTGGGGAATACAAAAAAGGAAGTAGTTATTTCTGCAAAGCTATGAGAGACAGGCCTGTACTCCTTACCCCACCTCCCACCACCCCTGGTTTTTTTCTCAGCATACATATTTGATTGATAGAGTCTAGACTTCTGTTGGGTTGCTTGTCTCATTCTGTCTTATTACACAATTAATTGTCTTTGTAATATGTGTCTCATATATTCGTAATTAAATTCTCTGAAGCCAAGAGTCTTTTTTCATCTCAAGCCTCAAAATAATTGCATAAGAGTCATGTCTGTTATTTCATTCAGCAAAGATTGAGTCCCTTCTTGTATCCATGAGTTCCACATTTTCAGGTTCAAACAACCACAGATAGAAAATGTTCAAGGAAAAAAAGTTAAAATAACAATACAACAATAAAAAGTAATACAATAAAAAGTATACAATATAATAAAAAGTAATACAAATAAAAATACAGTACAGCAATGTTGATCAAAAGTTACAAAATTTCTCTGAGGCAAGAAGAATGAGTTCAAGAGATCTATTGTACTATAGAGTGACTATTACTAAGAGTCATGCATTATATACTTGAAAATTATTGAGAGTATAATTTTATGTGTTCTCGTCACGCACAAAAAAAAGAATAACAAGTATGTGAGGCAGTAGATATGCTACTGAAGAAGGCAGTCAGTAGAACTAATGCAATACTAAGTGTGTTTTTCAAAAATAATATAAAACTAGCAGGCATATTTACTTATTGATTATAATCTATATGTAATAGTCTCCCTGTTAACGATCCATAATTGTGTGATTGTAATTTATAGCTGAAAGGTGTATCACATAAGCAACATTTTTTCAGATGAGGAAATTAAGATCTGTGTTTAGTAACACTGCACTAAAGCAATAGGATTCAAATTAAGGTCTCCTCTCTCCCAGTTGAGCTCTTTTTGTTTGTTATTGGATATTGCCATCTGTGACCCAGACATTTCAAAATTGTTTTGATACATTTTGGTACCTTGAAAGCTACAGTTTGGAGGGGGCGGGGAACTGAGCTTTCTAGAAATCTAGAGACCCAAATTCAACTTCAAATTTAACTGTACCATGAACTGGCCACAATTCTAAGACTGACTTGACCATTAATCTTTTGCAAGTCTTCTCCCTCTGAGACCTTTACTGTTTCTTCTAGCTTTAAAATCCTCCAGGCCAAAACCAAATGTGATCCATATGATCTTGTATCAGTACAATTAGTTTGATTAACCAATCATTAAATAAGTCTTGACTTTCCTACACAAAACTACCTGGCTCTCTTGTGGTCCCACATTACATGTGTAGCACTTGCCTGTTTTTCTCAAAAGTGAACTCCTCAGGGCAGGGATCCTATTATCTCTTAACTATAATATTCTCAGTACCTCTTATAGAGTAGACACTCATAAATCTTTATTGAATGAGTGAACATCAGTTTTAGGGATCTGGCATTGTTTTAGGCTTTCTCTATTTGAATTTTTGTAGTAAAGGAAAATAATAGTATTTTTAAACAGTGTTAGTTCAGGTTCTTGATAGCTTAGCCATTTATCCGTGTAGTCTTTATTTGATCATAAGGATTCTTTCAGTTGTATAGTCTGAACACCTTGTTTTCTCTCTAACTCATGATTAACATACAGTTCTGCATGATACAATGGCCTCTTTAACTCCTTCCTTATTTTAATAAAATATTAATTTGGGGGATGGGGAAATATACTAAAAACTGGTCCCATTTGCAAATCAATTTGCAAAAATTTATTTTAATCATTTTCTCTTTTATTTGTATAGTTATAATCGCTGGTTATGTCAAGCAAGATCTGAGGATCTGTCTGATATTGCTTCTTTGAAAGCCTTATACCAAACAGGTAAGCGTAATTACTTATATGATGACTTATTCTTTTCATGAATTAGGAATCCTACCCAGCATGCTATTTGAGAGTTTATTTTTCTCTATTTCTTTAGTGCTAATGCAGATAGTCTATGGCCTTTATCAAGATCTTAAAAATAATGTACCAACCTATAACATTTTCAACTTATGGTCCTATATTGCCAACTTTATTTCTTCCTTTTGTCCTTTTTCTTTAAAAAAATGCTTTTATAAGTATCTTATACATACTTGCTATTACCAAATTCAGACCTTACATAAATATATAATAACAACAGCAAAAGCTTCCAGATTTCGTTTTTTTCTTAATTATTTCTTTTTCTGACAGTACTCATTAATTTTCAGATTTGATCACTATTTAGTTTTTCCTAGATCACTGATGTTTTTAAAGTAGCTTGAACAAAATGTTATTTATAAAAATATCATAGACTATCCCTGATTTTAAATCTTTAAGAGGTCTTATCTTAAAAGTCAGTGCAGTGATCAAAACCACATAAAGCTAAAGAAGGAAAGAAAGAGAAAAAATTTTGTTTTGTTTACAGTAAGAGAAATCTAAAGATGAAATTTGAGAAACTCAGATTTCTTGGTTGTCATTCTTTTAAATATGTGTGGAATATTTTTTATGTAGTCAAAGCTAGGACAATAATGAAGTTTCTGGGTGCTGATTACATTGTCTATTTCTAGGTGTGGATAACTGTGGTCGCACAGTGATGGTGGTAGTTGGAAGAAACATTCCTGTAACATTGATAGATATGGACAAGGTAAGCTGAAAAAGAGGTTCTCTTTCATAAATAGTGTTGATTTTTAAAAGAAGTAGGATATGAATTGGGAATCAAGGCTAAAAACATGGTGAAGCTGAACTGTATCAGGGAAGCAGCCCTGGTTCTGTGAGTGAGCTATATTAAAGTACTGGAAAGCTGAAATATGATCTCCAAAAGCATGACTGCTCTTGTTTTGGATATAACTGGCAAGTGTTTGGTTGGACCATTCTGTATTGTAAAGGTAAAATCAAATTTAGATTCTTTTGAAAAAAGAAAATTAATACTTGGCTGTCTAAAAGAGAATAAAACAAAAATATAGTTTACCCAAGGTAGCATAATTTCATAATCCCTCATTGGAGGTCAAGGAACAGAAACAGATGATTCCTAAAAGAAAAAATAGCTAACAACTGATAAGATACTTAAACTGATTAGTAGTCCAAAAGAAGTGAGTCAAAATATCTTTTGTCCTTTTCAAAGTTAGCCAGAACTTGTAAATAATAATGTCATTAAAGATGAATCAAAACATAAAAGTGATCACACCTATTGACCCAGTGATTCCATTTATGAGAAATTGTACTAGGAAAATAATCCAAAGTACAAAAGTAAGTGTAAGCCCTAAAATTGCCGGAAGTGGAATATTCAGGTAAAGTATGATTAAATGTATGAGATAAATATATAGATTTTCTTAGAACATCAGTTTTATTAGAAACTACAAAGGAGAAAAATAACTTTAACTGATCAGTAAGTATTAACCACATAAAAATTATATACCTAAAAATACAAAATTATATATAATTGTAAAATAAAATTCACTTTTGCAAAAGCTAATAAGTATTTCAGCTAAGCCCTCAAATTCTTCATCACTGGTGTTTGAAGGGAGAAAAAAATGTGGAAGTATTGAACCTGGAATATTATTCAAAGGTCCATTTATAGCAAAAAGTTATAAATTTGAATGTAAATTATAATTAATTATCTAATGGATTATTGTGACACATTCAGAAATGGAATATTCTATGACCCTTAAACTGAATGATCATAGAGGGGAGTACAATAGAGAAAGGTTTACAACATAATATCAGTAGGAGAGAGTGTGCAGTAAATTGTATCTAAACTGATATTAATTGAGTTTTTGTTTTTGTTTCTTGGGTTTTTTTTAAGCATTAAGGTAAAAACTGGAAGTAAATATCTCAAAATGGATTTTGCTGGGAGAGAATTTATCTTATAGATTTTTTCATCATACCTTTTTATAATGACAAAAAAAGCTAAAGATGGGGAATTAGAAAGCAAAGAGGGGTATCCTAATAGTGCTGGTTTGGGAGTAAAAAGTGGACAGAAAGAATACAAAGAGGAAGTCTAGTAAGAGGAGAAGTAGAACTTTAAAAATATATACACACACAGAGAAAAGGCCCAACTGTTGAAAACTACATTATTTAATTTCTATTTACAACTATTTGTTTCCTGTACTTATTAAAGAGTATGACACACATTCTTGAAAATAATGTGACTAATACCAATTAAAATTTAAATCCCTCTGTTTGATTTTGGTGTGTACTTGCATGGTAGCCTGGATATTATATAAATATCATATAAATAATAAGATACATTGTGAGGTCCAAACCAGGCAACAACTAGAAAGATACTGTATTTTCTTAATGCCCATCTCTGTCAGCTCTGATAGCAATTGGATCCTATTCCATGTTAAAGCCAAGGTCTCATCTGAGGAGGAATTGGAAACCAGCCTGTTCTATGGTAATCCTTTTAGTTGTTACCTCTTAGCTTCCTCCTTATAATTGTTTACAGTTAAACCACTGTGTCATACCAGCCCTGCTCATATTGGATCTCTGTTTTTGTTTTTAGTGTTTTCTTACATTTCTTGTAGTGGAATACTTTTCTCTTTTCAAACTGCGTCAAACAAAATTTTAGTCTTTTTGAGCACTAGAAATGCTACCCAACCTCTTGCTACCTACCATCGAAACTTGTTCCAATTTCCTCATTTAGATCAGCATTAAAAATGCTAAGAAATTAGCCCTTAAAGTGAGTCACATAAAGCACTAATTATATTCTTTTATAGTAATCCTTTGGTTACATCAAAGCCATGAGTCTATATCTGAGTAGAGACTACAAGGACTTTGATCAAATCCAGGCAGAAAGTTCAAGAATTGTTAAAAGTCTAGAAATTCTACTTCTAAAGATTCTGATATCTTTATTCAAAAGAGAAGAAACCTGGTAGTTGACTCAAAAATTCTTTCCAGGGGTTGTGGTTGTGGCTCAGTGGTAGAGTGCTTGCCTAGCACATGTGAGGCACTGTGTCCATCTACAGCTAAAAGAGAATTAAAAAAATAAAAATAAATTTTTTTCAACATATGGAAAGTTATTTCACAAAACATAGACTGTTTATTCTCTTCTATCATTTAGAATAAAACAGAAAAGGATTGTACCATAGCTTTTGTAAGAATTACTAAATTCTGGGATGATTCACTTTCCTGAAGATATTTTTAAAGAAAATTGATGCTTATCACCCTGGCCTGTTCATCTGCAATGACTGGGGCATAGATTAGTCTTTGGGTTTTTCTCTCTCTCGGCCTCTGTAAATAAACTACTGTGCAAAATGATCATTACTCCTCCTTTTTCTTCCAGGCTCTCTTATATTTCATCCATGTAATGGATCACATTGCTGTGAAAGAATATGTGCTAGTATATTTTCACACACTGACCAGCGAATACAATCACCTGGACTCTGACTTCCTGAAGAAACTCTACGATGTTGTTGATGTCAAGTTAGTTATTTTTGTAAATTATAAAGGGAGATGTAGTTTCTTTATTTTCTAGTTTGAAGCAATAGCAAACATTCTAATGTATTCTAAGAAAGGGTATTTCATATGAAATATTTTTATCATAAATTAGTATTTTAGTTATAGGCCCTCTTTAACAGATTTATTTTGCATTAATTGATTAAATGAATTAAATAAATTAATTAGATTTATATGTATTATTTTCCCACTTTTAAATACCTTAAAGAGGATTGGGGCCATCTTTGTGTAAGTAATAAAAACTTACTGTTTATTTTTATGGTATATCATACTTACCAATATAACCTATGTAAACATTATTTGCTTTGATCTAATGATCCATGAGATTGTTAGGAGAAATGCTTTCTGCATTTGAAAGATAGGAGATATTGACATTCTGAAAGGTGAAGTGTGTTGTCCAAGGACTCACAATAGTAAATGCAGAGTTTGGACTTAACTACCTACTAACATGGAGCTGGAAAATTTATTTATGTTAAACCATATTACCCATGAAATGACAATTGAAAATTTAATGGAAAATATATATCACCCCTCTACAGCAAGATCAAATGTAATGTTTTAAACTTTTCTCATTAATGTATTTCCAAATAAAAATGGCACTTTATGCTCCTAGTAACTATTTTGTTATTTTTAGCATCACAGTGTCTTCATAGATTACATTTTACAACTAGGGTACAAAGAAGGAAAACTACCATAAATTTATAGCTGTTTTGCTCCTCCCATTAAATCTCAGATTAATTAACAAGATTAATGTTTTCATTATCTAATAAATACAGTCTTAACTTCTCTGAATGTGAGGGGTGTGTGTGTGTGCATATATGTATATAAATGGAAACTTAATGCTGCTCTTTTTGTCCTTCTGCCACTAACCAACTCTTTAACTTGGAATGGGCCTCAGCTATGAAAGGAACAGTTTATACTATTTCTCTGAAGTTCTTACCAATAGCCTCATGTGACTCAATAATAATTGTTGAACTGTTGGGAAAAAAATCTCACGCACACCTTTTAGAAAAGCTAGATGAAATAGTGGATAAGTATGATTCTGGAGCAGTATGGCCTGAGCTTATTTTCTGGCTTTACTGGATGGCTGCATGACTTTAAGAGGGTTAAAACAGGCAATAATAGTCTCACAGAATTATTACCAGTATTAAGAAAGAAAGCCAATATACTATATGTGGGATATCGTAAACTCCGTTGAAATATGACCATGGAAACTTCTAGTTTCTAATTTTTGCTGTAATTTTAAGTGGTTTGAATGTTATTTAATTCTTATATCTGATTCCAAGTGATTCTATCACTATATAAAAACAACACATGATAAATGTGTTAAATAAGTTTATTTAATTTTGTGTTACCTTTAGGTGGTAGGGTCTCTCTCACAGCCCACAGAAACTTAGTGTTTTCTGTAAAACAGACATTTTAAGTGATGAAATATTCTCAAAATTTCACCTAAAATTCAATACACAGAGTTGCTTCTAAAATATTTTTAACCTCCCTGAATATATTTATATATATGAGTTAATTTCTGTAATAGTGACTAGCTTTAGGAATGACTTATTGACCCTTTTGTTTGTTTGTTTTGGTTAGATACAAGAGGAATTTGAAGGCTGTTTATTTTGTTCATCCAACATTTCGTTCAAAGGTATGATATTTTTCTTTTTGGGCTAACTCCTAAATGCACTGCATGCTCTGAATATTAAGGTAAAAGTTTCAGCATTTTAATTATTGCTGTCACCATTGTAACTGCTAATTGTTTGTTTGCCCTTCCTTTTTAATTGATCCCAAGTTGTGGTCCTAATGTTTTGGTTGTGTGTGATGTTAGTATCTTTTGGAGCAACCTTTTAAGCCTTTAACTTCTCAACCTGTGCCTCTTGTTGCTCTTCATCTGGACTTTGCTCATGCTGTCAATATGGAATATACTTACTCCTCTGCTTATGGCTGACTCCTGTTTTCCTTAAGATCTTGGTTCAATAGTTATTGTCTACACAGAGCCTTCCCTGATTAATCCTATAGGTAATAAATACTCCTGCATCATATCCCTTAAAGTCCCATAGTCTTCTATCATTGTTATGCTTTTGTTCTGACTATTTAATTCTCTGCCTTATGTTAGCTAGAATATAGCTGTCTTGCTCACAGTTTTATTCCTAGTATCTGATCTGACGCCTTAACTTCATCAAGACATTTAGTCCCTTGGTCCTTTCACTTTTTCTGAAAATGCCATCCTTCTTGCTTTTTATTCTTCCCTGTCTATCCTAAAACACCTTGCATCACTTCAGACTCTGTTATCAATGCCTAAACTAACCTTTGACCTCTTACTCTTTTGTCACACCTGCCCATGAAACCTCAGCTTGACCTAATCCATTGCTTTGCTTTCTTCATTTCTCCGCCTGAATTGAAGAACACTGGTGGAGAAATCACACAGCATGAGGAGTTGCAGTCTTGCCAGACTCAGAGTTGCTTTCACTGGTAGAGGTATTTTGATGTTTCACTGGACAGTGTCCCAGAGTGACCTGCTAATCTCCTCAAGTCCCGTCCTACCAGCTTTTCCGTATTCCCAACAGGTAGCTTTGCCTCATTCTCAATCAAGAAATTGAAACCATCATAGATAACTTTCTGCCTTCTTCCTCCCAATTCAAACTCACCTGCCATCTGTTTCTATCATTGCCTCCCTTTTCCCTTTCATTAAAAAAAAAAAAAAAAGTGCTCCTTCTTAACAATGGATACTGCCTCTACCTGTGCTCTGGCTCCCATAGTAATAACTGTAGCTGGTTTTTTTGAGCACTTACTATCTGCCAATTCTTTCCATGCATTATCTTATTTAAGCCGTACAATGTTTCTAGGAAATAAGAGAGTGGTAGAATTGCCATTTTACACAAAAGGGAATTAATATTTATATTACGAGATTCCCACAAGGTGACCAACAATGAGTAGTAGCAAATACTGGCTGAATTTGAATCTAGGCATTTTAATCTAAGAGCATACACTCTTTTGTTGTTGTTGTTGTTGTTGTACTCAATCACTGAGCCAAATCCCCAGCCCTATATTGTATTTTTATTAGAGACAGGGTCGTGCTGAGTTGCTTAACGCCTCACTGTTGCTGAGGCTGGCTTTGAACTTCCTATCCCACTGCCTCAGCATCCCAGAACCGCTGGGATTACAGGCTGTGCCACCGTGCCCAGCCTCTGCACTCTTAACTACAGAGTGTTTGTTTCCATTTCTTTGGGAATATCTCTTCAGCAATTAACGTCTTTTTCCTCTTTCACTCTGCCAGATCTAAATCACCAACTCTTAAACATGCCACAGCATCTGTTAGTCTGTTCCCCTTGACAGCCAGAACTTGTTAGTTAATCTATGGTTTATAGTCACCATCTCCATTTTTCATACACTTTAAATTACTCTGATCTGTTCTGATCCCATGTGCCAGCTAAAGCTGTTCACACAGAAATCACTGATAATCAGTGTTACTACATCCAGTAAATGCTTTTCTGTCTTTCTGTTACCTGCTTTCCCTACAGCCTTCAATGGTTGATCACTTCTGTAAAACATTTTATCTTGGCTTCTTTGAAACTTACCTTACCTGGTTCTCCCTGCTTCTAGCTGCTCCTTCTCAGTAACTTTTGTGGACCTTCTTTCTCTACTCATCCTTTGAACGCTAATGTTCCCAAGTCCTCTGCCCTCACCTTTCATTCTGTATCTTTTTTTCATCTCTGTGTTTTCAGAAACCCTTCAAATTATATGCAATCCCCAATTACATGTTGAGGAATCCTAATGTTTAGAAACATGGTTTGAGATGACCTGAGTTCTAATCCTTGCTCTACCAACCACCAGTTTATCATCTTAGCCACATAGTGTAATCTTTCTGTGTTTTACTTTCATCCTCTCTGAAATGGAGTTAATAATAGCGTCATAGGTCATTGGGAAAATGAAGTAAGTTAGTACATGTAAAATGCTTTGAACATTACTTAGCATATCATGGTCCCTCAATAAAGTTAGCTGTTATCATCATTTCTAGGCTCTAGATCTGTGCATTGAACTGCTCGTTAGCTGCCTTCATCTAAGCCTTCATGTAGGTATCACATGAGGGACCATGATATGCTAAGTAATGTTCAAAGTAGCAATTTTTTAAGTCCCTAAGCATCTTATCGAGTCACTGTCTCAAAATAAAAAAGGATTGAGGATTTTTCTCAGTAGTTAAGTGCCCCTAAGTTCAATCCTCAGCACACAAATAAAATGTATATATTAGCAACTGATGATCAAATTGAAATTTAAAAAACATATCATTTATATGAGGATAAAATATTAAGTAAGTACATAGAAATAAATTTGACAATGTAAAAGACTTACATTCTGTATAGTTTTATATGCTATAGAACACCAATGGAGAAACTGCAGACCTAAATAAATGAAAACCTATACTGTATTTGTGAATCGGAAAACTTAATATTATTATTTCTTGATAAATATATAAATCTAGTTCCAATCCCAACCAAAATTTAAGTCAGTATATTGGTAGAAATTGACCAATTAACTCTGAAATTCATGGGAAAAGGCTAGGAATTTAAGGTAGTCAACCATTTGGAAAAGAAACACAAAGAGAACTAACACCACCTGCTTTGAAAGCTTATTCTGAAGCTACAGTACATGAGATGGTGATATAATGGCACAAAAATAGACAAATCAATGGAACAGAATAAAGAAAGACCTAACTGTAAAAATTTAAACTTTAAATTGCAGAAGAAATTATAGAAGGAAAATCTTTGTGACCTTGAGTTAGGCAAATATTTCTTACATATAATACCAAAAACATAATCCATTTAAAAAAAAAAAAAAGAACTGGGTGTTTGCCCTCTAATAGACACTGTTCGGAGAATAAAAAAGACAAGTTGCAGCCTAAGAGAAAAATCAGCGTACACCATATACCTAATAAGGATTGTATCTAAGACATAAAGAAGTCTCACAACCAGTAATTAGGAAGACAATGTGGAGAAAAAGGAACACATTCATTGTTGGTAAGGCTGTAAATTGGTGCTAACACTATGGAAATCAATATGGAGGTTCCTCAAAAATCTAGGAATGGAACCACTATACGACCCAACTGTATTACTCCTTGGTATTTATCCTAAAGAATTAAAGCCATTATACTAGAGTAATACATGCATACCCATGTTTATAACAGCATAATTTACAATAGTCAAACTATGGATTCAGGCTAGGTGTCTATCAACAGATTAACTGGTAATTTGCAGGAAAATGGGTAGAACTTGAAAATATTATGTTAAGTGAGAGCTTGGAAGGTCAAGAGTTATATGTTCTCTCTCGTTTGTGGAAGCTAGAGAAGAAAAAAAAGGTAGGGAGTGGCTCATGAAAATCAAAGGGAGATCACAGTAGAATAGAGGAAAGAGAGAAGGGGAAGTAAAGGGGAAATACTGGGGAATGATTGGCCAAATTGTATTGTTATATTGCGTGCATGTATGAATATATAACAGCAAATCCCACCATTATTTACAACTATACTGCCCCAATAAAAATATAGAAAAAACTAAACTTAAAATACAAATAATTAGGAAAAAACTCAGTTTAAAAATAGGCAAAGATTGTATAAATACTTCACCAAATAGGATATTCATATAAGCACATAAGCACATGTTCAACCTAATTAGTCATTAAGAAATACAAATTAAACTCCATTGAGGTATCATTACACTCCTATTATTACACTCTCACAGTGCTGATCAAAATTTAAAATGCTATAGGTACTTTGGCAAACAACTTGGAAGTCTGTTTAAAGAACTAAAACATCGTCTACTATGTGATACAGCCATCCTACTTCTAGGCATTTACCCAAGCCAAGTGAAAACATTCATATAAGAACCGACTATACACAAGTACTTAACAACATCTTCATCTGTGATAGTGAAAACTATAACAACTCAAATGCCCTTCACTGGGAGAATTGATAACCAAAGTCTGGTATATCTATACACTAGAATAGTACTCAGCAATAAAAACCACATACTTGATATGTACAACTACATAGAATCTCAGAAATGTGCTTAGTAAAAGAAGCCAGACCAAAATGGAGTAATACTGTATAGTTCTATATATTTGGGAATGATGGATATGTTCATTTTATTAGTCATAATAATGGTTTCGTGAAAGTGGGGGGTTGTATGTGTTTGTCAAAACTTAAATTGTACATTTTAAATATATGCAGTTATATCTCAGTAAAACTACAATAAAATGCCACTACACTGCCACCAGAATGGCTAAAATTAAGGATTGACAATACCAAACATTACCAGTGTCTTGGAGCAGCTGGAATTCCCTATATCACAAGTGGAAGTGAGAAATTTGTGCAACCACTGCGCAGAAAACTATGGCAGTTTCTTATGAACAAATCATATACCCAGTCTATCCCCTGGCAATTTCAGTGCTAGGTACATGCCCAGGTGAAATACAAACCTATACACACAAAAAACTTCTACAGCAGTGTTTATAGCAGCTTTTTTATAATACCCAAAGTCTAGAAACAACTTTAGTGTTTGTCAATAGGATCATGAATAATTAAACTCTGGTATATTCTTGTAATGGAAAATTACTTAGCAATAAAAAAACATTTACTACTGATAACACACAACAGTATGGATGATGAATCTTATATCTTATATAAACTTAAAGAAATGTTACATAAAAGACAAGCTGTGTGATTGCATTTATGCTTGAGGTTCTAAAGCAGACAAAACTAATCTGTGGTAGAAAAAAAAAATCATGGATTTACTTCTGGGATATGGAGAATGAAGAAAAGGGCCATGCTGGAACTTTCAGGGGTGAGGACAATGTTTTTGACCTTAATAGGAGTTTTGTTTATAGTCTTGTATATCTGCTTGACAGCAAAAGTACACTTTTTATTTCATTGACTGAAAATTTATAGCAAAGAAACTTAACAATATTAAACTATAATTAAAGACATAAGTACTGTATTTGGGGAAAGTTTGCTGATATCTGCAGTTTATACTTGGAAATATAGCAGAAAAATAAGATGAATTGATAGATGGATATAGGGATAGATAAATAATTTTGGGAAATGGAGAAAATGAGAGATTAAGACCATTGTGTAATAAGACCCACCATTATTTTATAGTAAATCAAAGCTAGAAATGGAGTGTTTGCAATTAGGAGATGAAATTAATAGATAATAAAACCATCAAATCACACAATTATGATTTCCATATAGTTCAGATCTTTTCTAGGCCACTCCACCCTAAGAGGTATTAAATTGACAGCTTGTATAAATCACTTCTCTTTTTCTTCTTTGTAGTTTACTAATAGAATTTAAACCCACCATTGATTCTGGCCCTAGCAGATTATCTGAGGACACACATGTGTACTGTCTTTTCATAGCTTATATTGATTGTTTTGTGATCCTACATTTTTGGTTTTGCATTTTTGAATAGTTGAGTGAAAGAATACGTAGAACTCACAAAATATATCAATAATCCTTTCCCAAATTTTAAATTTTCTTGACTTTTAAAGTAGTAGATACTAAGTAGTGAAAGTACTTAAATTAATGTCTGTTAGTTTACATTATAAACATACTGAAAATTTAAAGTCAAGCTATATAAAACTCAAAAACTAAAAAAAAAAAAAAAAAAAAGGTAAAGACAATGCTATTGGGTCTCCCTGAAAACTTTTAACTGACTTTCCACTTATATTTTTTGAGAAATTTTCTCCTACCAATACCTGGAGTATGTAAAAGATGTAATGGGAGAAAATGTCAGGGAGAATTGTTCCTCTTTCAAAAACTGTATTCCTAAGAGCAGTGTCTGTTCTTCCCCAACCCAATCTCTCTCTCTCTTCCATCACCACCACCCCACCATATCAGTATAACGTTGTTGTTGTTGTTTAAATATGTAAGAGTCCTCTTAAAGAATTGTATTACTTGAGGGAGACTTTAAAAATCACTATGTGGAACTTCTTCATTTTATAGATGGAGAAACTATGCCCAGACTAAAGTGTAATTTACTCTTGTTGTAAAATGAAGGAACATTATAGCATTCCTAAATAGTAAGGCCAGAGACTCCTATAAATCTATTCTTTGATTCAAAAAACACTAAATTCCTTTAATGTTGTGTATTAGCTATTACGAGTATATAGGAATATGACATTGAATAAGGCAGTCCCCATATTGGGAAGCTTACAATCTATTTAGAGATTAGCTAATACAATACACAGTGTTCATTATGAGACAGTAATATGAGTAAAAACAGCTTTGTCAGGACACTTAGAATGAAGATTTCTTGCCAGCTTTGGATAGAGGGTGGTCAAAGAAAGCTTCCTCAGGGAGACAAATTTTGTTATGAATTCTCAAGGACAATTAGCCAGGCAAAGAATTGAAGGAAAAAGTATCAAAAACTAAATGGAAAGCATGTAAAAATATCCCAAGGTAAGAAACCGTGACACAGAAATTCCCTGCATAGCTTCTTAGCTCCATATTTTAGATCTTTTCCAAGTAGCAGAGCTATTTGCATATAATAGGTATTCACATGTTTCCTTTGGACCATTCATCACATGTAGCAAGCTTTGCCTTAGGTAGTTAAGATTAGATTGTTAGTTATTAATGATCTACTGCTCTATTAGAATCTTAGCTCTCTTTAAAGGAAAAGACATATGAGTTATCCTGTCACATACAACCCCAGGTCAGTTCTTAGCACACACCTGTGAATATTTATCTCCTTGCACAACAGTACCTCCTAACACATCCTTGAGGTTTCTTCCCTCTTCTACCCCTATGATCTTTGATTTTCTTGCTCTTTCTAGAATCTCAAAACTCGCCATAGTGTCTTCTGTGATGAATTATGGAGCTCCTAATCTGGAATTTTCAACTCATCTAATCTGAAAAAAAATTATAGCAATAAAGTATATAATAGATGTGTTAAAACAAACTGATTTTGGCATGTTATTCAGTGACTTGTTAAACTCACTTGGTTCTGGTGAAGCCAAATACTTCAATTAGCACCTGCCCATTGCCTCCCTTCAAATAAAATAGGTAAAATGGGAGGGGAGAGAGTACAGAGGATACTGCTGGTATTTGAAGCCCTTTATCAATCATTGATGGTATATCTGATGTAGAAAAGTGACCCAGGCCATAGACACCACTGTAAAATAGACCTTATCTTCATTCATTCTTTAACAAATACTTGTGAACTCATGGCTCTTTCTGTACCTTATAAAATTATCCTTCTAGTATCGTCTGCTAGGTACCAGGGAGATTGTAGAAATGATTATAGCCGAGGGAAAATCTCTTTGGATTGGTAAGGGAGAAATAATGGTAGGATGAGATTTGTACTTATTCGGAAGTTCGAATAGGATTCTGATAGCAATAACTAGGTTTAGTGTTTTCTCTGTTATTCTATGCCTCTTCTTACAAGTAAGTATGAAGACATATGTCATGTCAGGGGCCTGGGATATGTAAAAGCTTTGGGAACAACCACTGAAGAATATGATAGAGTACCAAAAAGAAATGAACCAAATGATTGGCATCCGTGGTAAGCACCCAAAGTGACATATATTTTTAATGTACCCAGTTTTTACCTATTCACGGTATGTTTTTCCAGTACCCTGAAAGTTCATATGCATGTTACCAACTTCTTAATAAAATGAGGCTAGCAACTATATCACCTACCTCATAGTACTGTTGTGTAACCTGTTAGTAAATGTGAGCTAATTTATGATTGCTGATTTAAATAGGTAACCAAGAGTAGGTGTTAAGTTCTAGCTATCATGTACCTTATCCTTGCTAGCAGAAGTCTCCCCCCACACCCCCACTTTATTTTTCCTTTTTGGGGAGCATATGTAGACTTATATATTGTACAGTGAAATGAACAAAGTGGCTCTGCTTCTCCAGGTGATTCACTTTGATTTACTTCAAGAAAGAGACCACATGTCAAGTGTCAACCAAAAATATATTTGTCCTAAAATTTTGGCAAAAGTTTCCTTTTCAGTCTCATTTGGAGATATAAAAGGGGTTTGTGAGATTTGGAGATATTAACCATTTTCAGAGTACCAGAGCACCAGTGATTGCAAATAATGCAGTGGATTTGACAGCCACCCACAGAAGAAGCATACTACACACACAGGAGTGTATATATATATAATGAAACAAAAAGTTATGGAAATAAAACTTATCCTTACTTCAGTCCATAGTAATTGTTATTCTACTTTCTTCTGTTTCTAGTGTTGTTCATAATCTTTTAAAGTGATTGCATATCACACTGATGAATTACAAACTGCACTTTGGAAAATGCCAGTTACTAGAAGATTTTGAAATTTAGTTTTTATCTAGTATAAATTTTCAAAATCATGTTTTATGGCTGTTAGCTTAAAATATTTTTCTCTTCTGTTAATCAGGTATCAACATGGTTTTTCACCACCTTTTCTGTCTCAGGACTGAAGGATAAAATCCACCATGTGGACAGCCTACACCAGCTATTTTCTGCCATATCACCGGAACAAATTGACTTTCCTCCCTTTGTCCTTGAATATGATGCCAGGGTAAGTACGTCTCAATCTCACTCTTTGTGTAGTATAGTAAATATCTATACAGCTGTTTCTGTGATCACAACATTCTACCATTAGAAGATACTGATGTAGCATAGTGTGTTTTAATAAGCTTGATAATATTACTAATATTCTTTTCCTACAATAATTTGAGGAAAAGTCTTTGTCTCAAGAGGGTTTTTTTTCAGATAAACATTTCAATGTGAGATTTTTCTGCTCTGAGTTTGAAGCACCCCTTGGTACTTTAGTACCAATTTCTACCACATTTGAGACAAGTACCTCTGCCTAATTTTCTTTAGATTGAATGACTTTTCAGCTATGTAACCAGTCAGAATTAGTTTTTGTCCACTCTCAGCAATAATATAATCAGCCTATCTTAATAGTCTTTACCCTTGCTAAAACTTTTATTTTCCTACACTTGGTGTAATGTTTTTAAGAGCATCAACCAATTATATTGTCGTTATTTATAGGTACATTTATAGATCTGTTACTCAACCACTAAAGCACTACTCTTGAATTTCACCAAAATTCTATTCCATTGTATTAATTCACAAGATCATCTCAGTAATTAAAAAAAATAAATAAATAACATGCTTGGCCAGAAGCTCAGCAAGCTCATCGTTTAACTATTGCTGATGTCTTTATACATGAACCAAAGAATGTATTTAATAGTTATATTAAGTTTGAAATGAATTATTCTCCCCTAATTATTGTGTAACGTGCATATAGTCAAATAAAAATCCTGTAACACATTTTCTATCCAACATTTCTCTCACTTCAGCTGTGATTTCTGTTCCCCGTATGTGAAGAGCAGAGTGTTTAATATGTTCTAATAGCTAATAAAATTTCATGTTTGGCTGTTGCAAAGAGAGGATTTGTAATTGGAACAGCTGGATCATAAATACAAAGATTGTTGAATATATGGTAGGGAAAAAAACTATCACTTTTTATTTACTGCAGATTGTTGGAGTAAAAAGTGGTCTTATTGTTATGCTTTGAACTGCACTCAGTGTTCTTAATCACAATAAATATGAAAGCACCAAAGAACATTTTAATACCAACAAGTTGGAATGACAATTCAAAGCTAGTGTCTGTATTTATAATTTATTTTCTAGGGTAAAAATATATAAGTTGAGTAATTGGTTAGAAAACCTTAAGGACTGTTTATTTAAGGCCTAAGCATTTTCTTTATTCTTAAGGGTCTGTAAAGTAAGTTTTTATTAAATATTAGTTAAAACTTCACCACACTCAGATTTGGTGTTTTTCTGGTTTGTTTTGGATGTTTGTTTAGCTTTCTTGTTATTTTTTGGTATATGTAATACAGATATAATATAATTAATTAAAATTAAATATAATAACCTCCAAACTATTAATTGACTTATTAGGTCATATGTATATTGAAGCCAGAGAGATGCATAAAATGGGGAAGAAGCCAAACTGGGTATCAGGAGATGATGAGGAAAGGGCAGGCAGATCACTAGATCCTGGAACTTTACACATTATGTTGCAGGTCTTGGCTTAGTCAGTGGAGAGTGTTCTGCAAAGAAAAACTGCTGTTGCATTCCTGTTTAGAAAGCTAATTACAGAAACAGCAGAGAGAATGAATCGAGAGGGAGATAGGCAAGGAGATTTGAGTCTATTAGTGAAGCCAGAGGAAAAATAAAACTAAAGACAGTAATAGTGACTGTGGTAAGATGCATTTGATACTGAAGCCACTTCAGAAGAGGAACTAGTCAGTAACTTTATAAATATAGTCAGAGGAGATTCAAATATATTAGAAATATTTAGAAATAGACACTAGGAAATAAAATCTGCAGGATTTGGTAAGTAAGTAGTCACTACAGATGAAGCAGAAAGTAAATGCTTTAGGAGACTTGATGTGTGGTGCTGCCATTATCCCAGAGAATCAATATGAAGGAATAGCATTGGGAGACTGGGTGGAAGGGACAGGCAGTATGTTATTCTATAACACATTAGGTTTGATGTGCTCTGTGGGACATAGAGATGAGATACCAGAATGTGGTTGGATGTTGACTTAAGGAAACATGTTCCTTTAGTGCATGGGAAGAATTAAAAATAGAAGAAAAGAAACAAGTATGGAGTCAATTTATTTTATTACCGTGTTCCATTGTGCCTTGCACATAGTAGGTTTATTGTTGGGTGAAGTGGTGAAGTCATGGTGGATGTAGGTTTAGAAAAATCCCTTGTCTGAGATTTTTATGACTTTGAAGAGTGACATAAATTATATAGGATTGAAAGAAACCTTTCAAGGTATTTAAAAGATAATTTTTATCTAGGTAAAAATGATACTGAAGCCACTTCAGAAAAGGGGGCTAGTCAGTAATTTTATAAATACAGTCAGAGAGTATACAATCTTACCTGGCAACAATTTTTTAAAAATTTCTATGATTATTTCCAGAAATAGAAAAAATATTTGATTGTTTCACAGTCCCTTGTGAGATCAATGTGAGTCCTAATTTGTGGCCTTACATATAAAGTTGACCTTCTTAATTTATGGCAGTTCAACATGGATATGAGAAACCTAAGGAATTATGGGGATAGAATAGAATAGAGAACTTTTAAAGTCAATCAGTAAACCACTTCTTTTCAGATGAACTTCAGAAAAGATTTCTCTCTTCAGGGAAAGTTTCTTTGTCATAGCTTCCATGTATATTGAAGAATCAGGATTGGCTACTGACAGATCCTGATAGGAAGTGCTAAAATGAAAAAAGTTTTATTTCAAGTTTCTAGATATGTAGCTAGTCCTGGGGTGTTTCTATGTAAGCTGTTTTTTTTAAATATCTTGTTTTCCTGGTTATAGCACCAGTGTCAACTCCTATTCCATAATTATAATGTAATTATAATGTAAATATACTATGAAGCAATCTATTTTCATTTTACTTCTCATTGTTCATTTCTAATTATTGTTATACATTAATGCCAAACATTTTGTTTATGTTTTATTGAAAATAAGTTCATTGTCAAAGAAATACTTTTCTTAAAAATAAGAAACTTTCTTAAAAATGAGAAAACTTAAGTCTCATTAAATCTCATCTAGGATCCTCCTACCATAAAATTAACTTGTCTTGGCTCTTATTAAGATAAAATCAGCCAAAGTATGGGCCAAACATTTTCTCCTTACTCTGATTTGTTGCTTTCTACATTTTGACATTAAAGTTCTGGCATTTAATTCTCCATTTTGGGCTGGAAATAAATTCCCTTATAACTATAATTGTTATAAGCTTTGCCACTTGGGTATGTCATGAAGAAGACTCACTTCTGCCCAGAGTTATAGTTATTACATTCCTCAGAGATAATTTTGTTGTTGTTTCATAACTGTATTAAGATTTGGCACACAGTGAGACAACACATTCTAATAGAAAAGAATCTGCATGTTATATTCAAGTAGATTTGGGTTTAGATCCAGGCTTTGCTGGATACTGGTAGGTGTGATCATTTTCCTCTTGTGTGAAATGAGGATATTGCCTACTGCATGGAATTATATGGGGATTTAAAATGATAGTGAAAACCATGTCTCGCATACGGAATATTCAATAAGTGGCATTGTCAAACCATCTTATCATTTTATTGCTTCTATTTATTTTACATGAACTCTACTCACTGCCCTGAAACTACTCTAACAGCTGAGGGCTGCTCAGTGCCAGACATGTACTAGACATTTTACACACCCTACCTTGTTGACTATACATTCCTTTCTTTCACATTTCCACTGAAATTGGTCTTGTTATTTATTGTTCTTGTCTGTTTTTCTTTCCACAGGAAAATGGGCCTTACTACACATCTTACCCCCCATCACCAGATTTGTGACCTGCCATCTTCTAGTGCTTCTTGATTCCAAGGATGCCACTTCTTCCACAAATCACTACCTATTAAAGTGATGTTCATTTTTGCTGTACAGATCCAGAGAGCCTTTTGTCCCCACCTCTCTGGTATTTTTTTATTGACTATATTTTCTGGCACATAAGCAATCTAAAAATGGTAGGCCATTCTGAACTGCACACATTTTAAATTTGTATATTTGTATCAAATGGAAATGTTCATTTTTAGAGTGTTGATAATAGGAATTGGGGAGCAACCTTTGAGTATCTTCAGTTTCCTGAAGGACACCGGATTCTCCATTGCATAATCCACCAACAATGTTCATGTCTTCTCTTAAACATTGCACGCTTCCTTTGTGTATTTAAATATTTCTTGAAATATATATAACCAATGTATGCTGACTGGATGCATTGTCTGCTTTAGATCCTGCTGATAATACCATTATATTTTATACATATAACCTAGTTGTAAGAAAATTATCTGGGACCAAAAATGTAGAAATATTTCTGCTGAAAAACATAAACATCATTAGCAAAATGTAGGACTTGCAAATTGACTACATAAGTTGAGACTAGGATTTAAGATCATATAATTTAGTAAGATTGCCACTGTTTTAACAGTGTAGGGAAACAAGAAGACTATATCTTCAGTCTTTTTCTGACAATCGAGGATAATTTGATCTTATTCAAAAGGAGTGCACCTGCTAGCAGTCTTACGAGCATATCCCACGACTTCATCATTCATCCCTCAGGAGCATGCTGTCTTCCAGAGTCATGAAGGATTTTGTTTGGCTCCGTGTCTCTTGAGTTGTGTATGTGGACAATGGAGGAAGTACGTTGCAGTAAAAAACTGTCCCGGAACCTAGTCATTGGCTTTTTTACAGACTTCTTTTGCCACTCAAACTTTATTTGTGCCTTAACTTATTAGTAAAAGGATATGCTACCTCCCTCACCTAGGTATGAAAAAGGTAGTATTTAGAAAGAACTTGGAGACTTTGGATGAAAAATGTCTGAGGGAGTTTGTGTGATGGGGTGCCTTCAGCTAGTTTTTAAATGGGAATAAATATACTTGAGCGAATGCTACAAGGCACTCTTGTCTTCATCACCTTTGGAATGATATTTTTTTCATGGGGGGCAAGAACAGTTAGTGCAGCCCTGATGACCACCTTCCTGCTTTTTCCAGAATTTCCTCTGGCCTTCTCCTTCCCCAGTGCTGCACTTTAATTGGAGACATCTGTTAGCCATTGTAAGGATTTCTTCTTGAATTAAGGTCAAACCATTTTCATTTCCATCCGGGTGTCTTCATACTCCTTTTGATTCCTACACCCACCCACCTCATCTCCCTCACCCCATCATGTATGTATATTTGCAGTTCAGAGAAGACAAAGTAGAACCCATCTGTTCTAATGTGTTCAGAATCAGTGTTTCTAAACATTCCATTCCCCTGTGCCCAAACTTACTTCAGTGGAGATAACAGAAACACACTTCATTATGATATGAAAATCCCCTATATTTGTGTTATCCAATCCTGTGTTTTCCCATGTAAACAACAAGGGGCTTCACATTTCTTGGATAAACATTCTTTTGCGTGTACTGGACACATTTGCTTTGTGTCAGACATCAAATCTACTTGTTCCTCATATATACTTTATGTTAAGGACTTCTTAGAATGTTCCCTAGGTCATTAGCTCCAAAACGGCAGTCAGAATTCTGATGTTAAGCTTCCTCTCCAACAGTATTCTTTTAAACTCTTGAGCCTTAAAATCTGGAACTCTTACTTTATATTCCATAGTCAACTATTGGATATATCTGAAGTATCCTTTTCACTGGAAGCAGCTATAAAAAATGCCAACTTTTCTTTCTTAAAACTGTACTTAGCTACCTCAACTGGCCTAGATGATTGTTGCTAT